TTATTTTCACAAGATGTGAAATATCTCATGTCAGTGTGATGATTTGGAAAAGGTTACCTGCTGTAATTAAAAGTTTGTCAAGTTTGCTTTAATATTTCCCTAACTTTTAATTTATTCAAAACTCCAGAATGGCTTGGCCTGGAAATTCTGTCTTGTTTGTATAAAAACCTTGTTGAAAAGAGTTTGTAGTAAATTTAGGTGGTCAGTGGAGGAATGGAATTGATCTATACACAAATTGGATGGTTTGGTATACATCAATGTAACGTAGTGTAATGTAAATCATGCAGCATTGTGTATACAAAACAAACCAAAATCTAAAACCCACAAGCTATCTGTGGAAGAAGTTAACTATAGGTTTGTTAAAGCAGAATGATGAGAGAGAATCAATTTCAGTTTAGTTTGCTAGGTGTTTACAGGAGAGGGAGTTTGGCAACTAAGTCCCCAAAAGTGGTTATTCAAGGATTTTGAATAAGGAGTACGTATGAAAAATCATTCATGCTTTATAAATTCATAATAATATTATAATAATTTCAACAATCATGTAATTTACAATTTCCTTCCAGTTTATAATCACTCGTTTTATTTAATCCCAGTTTTACTGGATTTCATTGCAACACGTATCTAATGTCAGATTTTGTAAATATTTATAAGCATAAAATGAGGAACCAAACTACAACTTAGTAACATGTCCTTCAGAATCAGCTAAAACCACTATTTTTTATTGATGTTTCTATTTTACCATCTTTCAACTTGGCCTTAAAAACTACCATTAAAGGAAATCATTATGAGTCACTAAATTAAGGCCAAGCAGAGATCACTGCCCATATAGTGTTGTGCTGTGCTCATGTATAGTAAAAAAACAGCTCCCTTTTCTACAATGTGTTCTATGGCAAAAACATTCTGTAGGCAAACATAGTCTTTGAGAAATGGGATGCTCATATTTAGACTGATGAATACCTATCAGCCTGGGCTGCCCAGCTCAAGGTCTGCCCAGCTCAAGGAGGCAACAAGTCTATTTTTGGGGCAGGTCATGAGCTGGCTTCCATTTTTACAGGCTTATTTCTTAACCCCCCACACCTCTGACCAAAGTGTACCCATGGCCCCACCCCTCACTGCTGATTGGTGATGAGGGCTGTCCATCACATGACCCCACCCCTCCCTGCCGATTGGTGGGGAGGTACTGGGCCACACAACAGGCAGCCCTCAGTCAATCAGTGGTAAGGGGCAGGGGTGGCAGTCATCTTGGGCTCCCCTTTGTGCTGGCAGCCCCCCTCCCCTCTTCCTCCCTCTGCAGGCTTTTTTAGTAAGATTTTTTTTAAGTTTTTTATTTTCAGTAAGATTTTTTTTCTTTGCAAATTCTACAGGCATTGCCCGTTTCACAGGCAATGCTGGATTTTGTGATTTCTGCAAAATGTGTGAAATCATGATTTGAGTATGTAGGTCCCTACTTATTTCATAACTGGGCACTGTCATTTTTCTGAATTGTGATATTAGATGGCAGTCTCACATATATGATTAGATGTAATATGACAACTAGACATGTTCTCATACATTTAAATATAAATATTTTTGGTTATATGCCCATTCTTTGTTTAAGCATGTAATTTGTATCTGGGCTTTAGAGCCAAATGCTACATCCATGAAGTCAGTGGCAAAACCTCCAATAACTAGGGACCTACTCAATTTGTGATTTCACAGATTTTGCAGAAATCATGAAATTGGGCAGTGTCCACAAAATGGCCGCTGCAGCCCATCTATGCAGCCTGACAGGGGTAAGGAAGAAGGTGGGCTGACAACACAAAGGGGAGCAACCTATATGACTGCTGCCCCCACCTCTCACCGTTGATTGGCTGAGAGGGTTGCCTGTCATGGAGCCCTGCCTCTCTCCATTAATCAGCAGTGAGGGCTGAAGCTGTACAATGGACAGCCCTTTCAACCAATCAGCAGTGAGGGGTGGGGGCCACTGGGGCCCTGTGGACAATCAGAGGCCTAGGGAGGGGCCTCTGATAAGTCACCGAAAATGAGGGCTGGCCCTGTGATCTGCCCATGAAATTGGCTGCCTGCCTCCTCGATTTGGGTATTCTTAACTAATAACCTTAACAGGACAGATTTTGCCCTTAGCTGATGATGCAATCTTTTGGTAAGGTGAGGTAATGCATTCTTTAAATTCAGTCTTATACCTTGTATGAAATATTATTAAGTGGCATTTGTTGTTTTGCACATAGGTATATTAATGTAAAATAATAAAATAAGTAACTGAGTCTGCATTATAGAAGAAATACAAAAATCCTGAGGAAGAATAAAAAATGTAGGTGCATGGCAGGTTGTAATACTACATTTTAAACTATGTATGGGATTAATCGTTTTTCCAGAATAAATGGGAAAAGTTTCCTTAGTTTATAGTATTTTGTTAGTTATTAGGTATTAAACCTCAATACCTAAATGGCTGTCATAAATACTCATAAAAAGAGTACTACCTGAAGTGGCCTGCCAGCATCCCCTGAATATAAAAGTTTATGATGGAAATTGATGGTAATATTTTATATTTGGGTTAACTGCTTTAGATACACTGAAAGAATCAATGCAAGGATAAAACATGATAGTAATTTTAGTATAATGATGACTTTTTTTAAAGTTTATTGGATTAATTTAGATGAACTGTTTCATCACAATGTAGATTTATAATGAGTGTAATGATTAACTCATAGAGTGAAGTATGAAAAAAGTCAGAATGAGATTCTTTTAATTAAAAGATAAAATACACTTATTTAACTGGAATTGTGAATAAGAGTAAAAATTGATATTATATACATGTTAGTTTTGCATAGTACTTACAGTTGTTAAAATTACTACACTTACATTTTATTTAATAAATGGTAATTCAGGTGACAAAAATGTGATGTTAATTGATATTTAGTCAAGGAAGTGTTTAATATTTGATTTAAAAATATTTTAACACCTACATATTGTCTTTACATCTGTTATGTTCTGTTGTGTTCAGCAATGGATGAAACCTTGTTTCCATTGAGGTCAGTTGGAGTATTCCCAGTAACTCTATGTAGGTTAGGGATTAACCCTGTGACTCCATTTATGTATTGACGTATGGGTAAATGGATGCTCTGCCTATACAAAGCCATTCTGAAGTCCCCGGGTCTTTGTGGAGGACAAGGAGGGTCAGATCTGTTTGTGAAACCTTTACATCAGTAGAAGTTTACTCATGCAAGTACCACCACTGATGTCACTGGGCCTGATCTAGCTCTGAGTAATATGCAGATGGGGTGTGGAAAAAGCAGACCATACACAGATATAGCTTTCCTTGCAGAGTCGAGGTGTTATCTGCAAAAATTACATGTCACCTGTCTTAACCTAAAATTTCATATAACATAAATTACCAAGCTTTCGTAGAAGATTTAATTGAAACTGACCCTGACACCTCTGTTTGCTTAATCTAATTTTCTATTACCCTATAGGTTTTACTAAAAAATACCATAAATAAAACTAATCAGTAAATGCGTTTTTTATAAAAAGCAGTAAGTTATTTGCAAAGCTGGAAAGATATTTCCTATGAGTAGATGGATTGTAATTATGCCATCATTCTCATAGTATTCTTACAATATAAATGAAATGCCAGATGTGTGGTAATTTAAAAATAGAATATAAAACCTTTTAGTATAATTACCAAATACTGTAATCTAGAAGATGTGAAATCTTTTTATGGAAATTTGGATGCAATTAGTTTAAGTACTATATGTAGGTATTTATAAAGCAGGACAACAAGTACAAAACGCATTCTATACATTTGCTTAAAAAGTCTTAAATAAATCTTCTTTGACTATCTGAACATGCCATTTGAAACATGCAGCGTTGGCCTAACTTTGCCCCTGTTGAAGTTAGTGGTAAAACTTCTCTTGATTTCAGTGGGAATTCAGAGTTAGTTTGCCACTAGATATTTTATATATGTCATTCTGTTTGTCCTTGAGCTCAGAATTTCATGAACAGAGTAGTGTGAAGGGAGGGGAGCATTGGGCAGAATAGGAATAGCGACAGCTGGTGAAGTGAAAAATGGAGTAGAGGGATGGGCCTGTGTCAGAGGAATTTACATATATGTTCTTAGCTATCTTGAGACCTTGCCCTCAAATGGCTTAGTGTTTATAGAGGTTAGGACTTGTATAAACCTAGTATCTGCTCAAAGGCCATGACACATAATAGGGAAACAAAAAGATGTTTTAAATAAGTGGCTTTAAAAGAAAAGAATTTGTATTGCACACTGAAATTTATGAGGAGGTTAACAGTGGTTAAGAAAAAAATTTCTAGAAGTGAATCCTAGGATGTTGAGGCCTGTACAGTTTGCTGCTTTAGATCTCAAGTGCTGTTGAAGGTAGGAAGCATGCTGGTATAAGCGAAAATCCTTAAGACAAACAGGACAGTTTAACCACAGTGCATTTTTTACTGAATGGCCTTTCCAAGTCTCATAGTAGAGAGTCAACACTCACGTCACAATCTTTTCTCTGCCTGAAAACACAAGAGTATGTGTTGTGTTGTATAACTTTAATCAGTCTCTTGACTGCCTTAAATCACAGTAATAAGAGTTTTTGAATAAGCATTAACTTGCCCTTTCACATTGATGGTAAACAGGTCATTAAAAGGTATAATTTCCTGAACTGCCTGATTTTCTTCATAAGAAAAGCATTCTCTCTTAAATTTATTTCAGGAAAGGTCTAAATCTTCCTTGTATATCTATTCAAAGGGGGTATTTTGGTTATATTTTGTAAGACTGTAGACATAGAAAAGCAGCCTGGTACATATAATATATAATTCTGCATGGGGTTAATTCAATTCATGATCATATATGTTTAGGTTTTAAAATAGCCATTAATGTGCACAAATACTAAATGTTCTCTAATGCTTTACTATTATTTTATTTTATACATTATTATTATTAAATATTAATTTTATATGATTGTTAATTTTTTATTTTCTTCATGTGCATTGCTTTTCAGGTTAAAGTGCAACAAAAAATATATTTGACTAGCTGGTTCTCAATATGAATCGCGCTTTTAGCAGGAAGAAAGGTAAGTACTTTTGTTTTCGTTATGTAAGAGACAGTTGTGACCTGATGAAGAATACCTTGTATTTGAAAGGTTGTCTAACTCTATCTCAGCTATACAGTTGGTCCAATAAAAGATATCACCCCAGAAAATCCTTGCCTTTTGCATAAGAGACAGAAGAAATCTTGCATAAATACTTAAAGGTCAAATATTAGTATTACAGAAGAGACCATTTCTGAATCTGAATAGTTGTATCAGACCAATTAGTTAAGAAGGAAATGAGTTTCTGAAATTTGTATGGAGCAAGTCACTCAAGATTAGTAGCTATAGAGAACTCATCTCTCTGGAGCATAAAGCTGAGAGCTCATGCTATTTTCTTTATTGATTTCTGACCAGAGGGTATGCCAGAGCGAGTTAGAATAATGAAAGGGAGACATAGAGACTTCTGCTTACCATTTATAATGACTGGGCTTTTATTGGGTAAGCTGTTTTGGAAAAATACTTTTACAGAGATAAACCTTCCTGTGAAATAAAAGCTCTATGATTCTTAAGGCCTAGACTTCTACTGCTAAAAATTAAAGTTGTGCTATTCAGAAAGTGTACATCTTTACTATCAGTATAGCAGCTGATTACTAGATGAATACTCAAGAGTTACTGATAGTGTTCCTTCAGCTCGTTCACATTCTGTTGTATACACCTACATTTTTTATTCATCCTCAGGACTTCGGTACTTTTTTCTGTAACTGAAGACTTAGTTACTTAATTATTTTAGTAATTTTTACAGGAGGTTACAGACAGAGATTTGTTTCCTGATGTACTTGAAAACATCTAACAGCAAATGTTTGCTGTTGGTTGTTATTAATTAGTAAAACTTTAGGGGTATATCTTTTGGCTTTGTTGTTTACATCATATACGTTTCTTCTAAAAATCCTTAAATGGCAAACTATGGGTCAGAGTCTGTGCTGGGATAAAAAATGAAACTCTAATAGAGTCACTGTGAGTGTATCCAGTTATACTTCAAAAGAATTTGCTCTCATATTTTCTATATCTTTAATAAAATTAGAAACTTTCAGTTTCTGAATAATAGACTCTAACCAAGTGCAACAGCAATATCTCTGTAATATATTTGGGACTTATTTAGTATACATTAGGTGATTCTAACTCTGAAATCCATACACTGGTAACTTTTTTTCTTTTCCAGACAAATAATTCCATTTCCTGTTGATGCTTGATTCTTGCATTGTGTGTTCACTGGTGTTGCCTCACTTCCCCTGAATTTTTTTAAACACAAATTTCATATAGTTTGTATTAGATTCCTCATGTTCTTCCATAGACATGATGGGGTGGGGGAGGGGAGTGTTCCATTCCTCTTTAGTTTTGTAGTGTGGTTTACTAATTAATTCACCTTGTTTCTGGTCTTGCACTGGTTCTTGCTGTACTGTACTGTGAATATTTGTGTCTCCCTTTGTGCACCAAGCATTGTCCTGCCAGTTAGTGCTGTTTGTAGGTGATAACCTGCACTGATTTTCTTTATCCCTTCATTAGTGCCTGTGTAATAATGTACTGTTGATATCAAATAGTTTCTTAAACTGGGCTTGTATATGTACTGGACCTACTGTCAAGAGAAATTGACTTGTACTTTCTTAGCTATAGATTGAGTAGTCCAACCTTGCACCCAAATGGCCTGATGCTCACTAAATTTAGGATTTGTATAAAACTAATCTCTGCTGAAAGGCTGTAGACACATTAATTTATAGTGCTACATAAGCACCTCATCACTTTGTATTGTGTTGTTCGGAGTATATCTGTTCACAGCCTCCTGACTGGAACTCTACAAAGTCACTGCAAAGGCATGCTTTCCAGCCAGGGGGCAATAAGAGGATGATCCTTTGTTTACCCTGCCATGGGTCGATCTATTGCTCCCTCAAGAGCAGGGCAGCAGCAAGCTCTGTGACAGCACAATATGGTGAGCAGAGCCATAGCCCCTGGTCCTGCCTGTGTTGCATCTCTGCTCCCAGCAGGCAGTCAGAGAGCCAGATACTTTCTCTCCCTTCCCCACTTGAGTGGAAAGGAAAGCAGAGCACTGTAGGATACCGGGAGTCCAAGAGACACCTTGTATTACTGCATAAACAGATGTTACCTACAAAATGTAGAGCTACAGAGAAGATACTGTTTCAGACAGGAATATTTCTATAGTATTTGTGCTATTTTATGTTGCACTACAAGTGTACACATCTGTCCCCTTGACTTTTGTAGTAATACAAATACGATGCCTATGTAAAGTCTCTTTTTCAGCTGACTTATTTACACAGAGCCAAGCAGTGGGAGCCTGTCTCACAGGCACTCTATTGAGCAGCCAGAAGTATTGCTAGTGGAGTGATTGCTGGGTGATTGCTGCCTGTGTCTGACAAAACTCTTAACAGGGAGGCAGGGGGTATAAGCCCAGGAGGGTATAAAAGGAGACTCCCTGAGTGATCAGGAAGAAAGCAAATGGGGACAGGAAACAGGGCAATGTGCTGGTAGCAAGAGGAGGAAGGGAAAGAGGAAGACAAGCCAGCCACTAGATCCTGCTCTGAGAATGTAAGTGAGCAACTAAGTCACAAAAGTCTGGCTTGCGGAGTATTTGCTTGGTGGGCTGTGTGGTTGGGCGTGTGCTCTGAGCAGCTGGGAGTGCTGCTATCTGGATGATTGATTGCTGGGTGATTACTGCTTGTGTCTGACAAAAGCTTTAATGAGGGGGTGGAGCTGTTCCAGGCAGAGGAGCATATAAAAGGGACTCCCCACATGACCAGGGAGCAAGGGAACATGCAGTTTGCCAGCAGTTCACAAGTCAGTTTGCCACCCTCCTCTTTAAAGGGGAGCCTTTAAGGTAAACTCTTTCTTTAATTAAGAGTAGCTAATTTATACATATGAGGTGTAAGTAGCTAAAACTGAGCAATTAGGCTAATACTTAAGCCTCTTTTTTAACCAGAGTCCAGAGGAAGGAAGAGCTTATTAGAGGAGTTTCCCTGGAAACTGTTCTCATCTTCCTTTGCTGTAAGCTTGGTGAAAGGAAGCAGGTTAGCAGGGAAAGGGGAATCTTTTGGGACCAAGGAGCAGTGAACAAATCAGCTTACAGCGGAATTGTCTAGGGAAGATCTGCTTGGAAAGAGAGGCAAGAAGAGAGAGGTGGTGGGTTAGGAGACCAAATAAATGGCCGGATGATATCTCAATGCCAGAGCCACTGCCACTGCCAGCTGTCCCTCTAGTTGCCCTCTGAAGGGTCAGTCCAGGCGGGACTGCTCACCATTGAGGCTTTCACCCAGGTCCTGGTTTGCTGTTGTGCAGACTGCATATGGGCACTAGTGATACTTCCAGGGGCAACCCTGAGGAGATCAAAAGTGACTGTAGGGCTCTAAGTGCAAGGGTGAAGGGGACAGGGGCCCAAGTGGTATTCTTCTTGATCCTTCCAGTTAAGGGGAAGGTCCCAGGCAGGAGTGGATCCATCCTGCAAATCAGTGCATGGCTGCATAGATAGTGTCTGCAGCAGGACTTTGGCTTCTTTGACTATGGGATTTTGTTCCCAAGAAGGCGGCTTGCTAGGAAAATATGGGAACCACCTGATGAAGAGAGGGAAGAAGACCTTTGCAGACAGGCTTGCTAACTTAGTGAGAAGGGCTTTAAACTTAGTTCACTGGGGGATGGAGACAAGCATTCTGAGTTAACTGGGGAAGCAGGTGACCTGGAAGAATCACAAGCAGGAGGGGGCAACAGGGAGGCCTTATTCTTCCTGAGAAAGTAGGGCAATCAGCAAGTTGCTTACAATGTCCTGTATACACAAATGTATGGAGCCTGGGAAACAAATAGGAAGAACTGGAAGTCCTTACACAGTCATGGAACTATGATGTGATTGGAATAACAGAGACTTGGTGGGATAGCTTGCATGACTTGAGTAGTTTCATGGATGGGTGTAAACTCTTCAGGAAGAACAGCCAGGGGAGAAGACAAGGAGGAGTTGATCTTTATATAAAAGAATGGTATGATTGTTCAGAACTGCAGCGTCAAACTGAAAACAGGCCTGTTGGAAGTCCCTGGGTTAGGGTCAGAGGGGAGAGTGACAAGGGTGATATGGTAGGTGTCTGCTATAGACCACCAGAGCAAGAAGATGAGGTGCATGAAGCTTTCTTCAAATAGCTAGAAGTTTTCTGATTACAGGCCTTGGTTCTTATGAGGGACTTCAGTTGACCTGATGTCTTCTGGGAGGGAAATATAACAGTGCACAGGCAATCCAGGAAGTTTTTGGAGAATGTTTGGGACAACTTCCTGGTGCAAGTGCTGGAACAGCCAGCTAGGGGGCCCTAGTTTGCTGCTCCAAACAGGGATGAATTGGTGGTAAATGTAGAAGTGGATGGCAACTTGAGTGGCAGTATCCATGAGATGAGTGAGTTCAGGATCCTAAGGAAAGAAATGAAGGTGAGCAGAGACTAAGGACCCTGGACTTTGACTCACTCAGACAAATGATGAGCAGGGTCCCCTGGGAGGTCAGTCTGAGAGAGACAGGAGTCCAGGACAGCTGGCTGTACTTTTAGAGAAACCTTACTGAGGGCACAGGGATGAAGCATCCTAATGTGTAGGGGAAGCAAGTGTGGCAGAAGACCAGCTTGGTGTAGCAGGGAACTCTTCAGTGAGCTAAAACAAAACAAAAACCAAAATCCAAAAAGGAAAGTTGCAAGAAGTGGAAAGTTGGACAAACTACTAGGGAGGAGTTTAAAAGTGTTGCTTGGACATGCAGAATTGGAATCAGGAAAGTAAAGCACAGTTGGAGTTGGAGATAGTAAGGGACAGCATTTAAGGGTAACAAGAAGGGTTTCTACAAGTATGTCAGTAGCAAAAAGAGGAAGGTCAGGAAAAGTGTGCATCCCTTACTGGATGGGGGAGGCAACCTACTGACAGAGGATGCAGAAAAGGATGAAGTACTCAATGCCTTTTTTACCTCAGTCTTCACAGGCAAGGTCAGCTCCCAAACTATGGCACCTGCCAGCGCA